AAACTTCACATCTTGTAGCCAAAACTCACATTTCTCATATTTGGCATACAATCGGTGCTCCCATAAAATCTATAAAACAATACTCAAATGGACCTCGTGCTCTTCTCGAGATCGTGAATACACAAGAATGTCATCTACGAAAACTACCACAAACTGGTCCAAGTAATCGTGAATGACACGGTTCATCAAGTCCATGAATACCGCTGGCGCATTAGTTAAGCCAAAAGGCATAACAAGGATCTCATAGTGTCCATAACGAGTATGGAATGTTGTCTTTGGGATATCCTCATCCCTAACCAGTAACTAATAATAGCCTGACCTTAAGTCAATCTTCGAAAAACAACTGGCTCCTCTCAACTAATCAAACAAATCATCTATCCTTGGCAAATGATACTTATTCTTGATGGTGGCACGATTCAACTTCCGGTAATCAATGCACAACCTCAAAGAACCATCTTTCTTCTTCGCAAACAAGACTGGTACGCCCCCTGATGAACACTCGGTCGGATGAAACCGTTCATCCTCAAATCATCAAGCTGCCTCTTTAATTCTGCTAATTCAACTAGTGCCATACGATACGGTGCCATAGAAATTGGCGCGGTACATAGCATTAAATCAATAGTGAACTCCACTTCTCGGTGTGGATGCAACTTTGTCAAATCCTCAGGAAACACATCCAGAAAATCACGAACAACTGCAGGATAATCTTCTTCCACAACATCATCTTCTTTGACTATAAGGCTAGGCAAGAAGTAATCACCATGACTCCGTCCGCGAACCCCATAAAACGATGAAATGTAAGAATCACTCCGATCTCCCACGAAAAAGAAACAGTCTCCCTCGGGGGTGCAAACTGTGACTCTACCTCTAAAACAGTCGATCGTGGCATGAAAGGAAGCTAACCAATCCATCCCAAGAATGACATCAAAGCTAGTCATCTCCAGGAAGATAAGGTCAAACAAAAAGGTCCACCCGGCTATCATAATGGAACAATCCCGCACAACTCGACTCAAAGACACTGAAACCCAACTGGCGTATCAATACATAACGCCCGATCCATGAAACTAACCTCTACCCCCGTTGCAAGTGCAAATGATAATGATATGAAGGAATGAGATGCACCAGAGTCAAACAAAACACAGGCCCATGAACCAAACACTGGAAATATACCTCAGAAAACTAATGATCCAGGAGATGTATCAGTTCGTGCAAGTACAAAGACACGTCCCTGTGGTACCTGTGCCTGAGAACTACCAACCTGAACACCTGACTGCTGCACTGACATAGTAGGAGTATCCCTCCTAACTGGCCATGAACCCTGAGAGGATATGGCAGGCTGTGATGGTGGTGGTCTGAAACCTGACTGAACCGCAGCCGACTGTGATGGCCTCTGCTGTGACCCTCTGCCACTACCGGTGCCTGCTCCCTGATTAGGACAATTTTTAACCTTATGGCCCTGTTGGCCACAACCAAAACAAACCCCAGAATTAACCAATGTCTGTGGACACTTTGACTTGTAGTGACCCGGTTAATTACAACGATAACAAATGACATCACTCCTGGCAGACCCTGCTGGCATAGGAGTGGTAAGAGTGGATCGTACTGAATGCTGCCCCTGAAACTGAGATGAACCACCCATGTTCCTCTTCCCTGAAGGTTCCTCTGAAAATGACACTGCATTCCTCTTTTACTTCCACTATTCCCTTCTTGCATCTTTATCTTTGGCCTCCACCTCTAGCATTAATACCTATTCCACTGCCTCAGAATAAACCTTGATGCCCTATGCTATTAACAATAGCCTTATCTTGTAGTCAAGTCCAGAGATAAACTTCCGAAACTTGTCAACTTCATTACTCACCATCTCTGGAGCAAAGCGAGAGAGTGAGGTGAACCTGTTCTCGTACTCCGTCACCGACATATTGCCTTGGATAAGGCCAATAAACTGATCCTTTAACTCCTACCTCTTGGAAGTAGAGAAATACTTCTCATAGAACAGCTCATTGAACCTATCCCAACTCATCTCTTCAATCTTATACTGATTTGTAACCGACTTCCACCAAAACTTGGCATCCTTTGAAAACTTGTAAGTGGCTAGGATGATTTTCAAGTGATCATCTGTCACATCCATAGAAGTCAATTGAGTTTCAACTTAATCCATATAGTTTTCCGCTTCCATTGGATTTGCACCACCTTCAAACATCACTGGCATTAACTGAGAAAACCCTTTAATGATCTTGAGACGTTTCTGTGCTGGCATCTCCTCTACCTGAATTACCGGTTGTGGTACCGGCGGCGGTATCGGCTGTGGATGTGTTGCAATTGTAGCCCTTAAGGCTCTCTATAATAAATAGTTTAATGTAAGTTCCGCCGAACCTTCACCCTCCTCAATGGGTACTTCAACATTATCCCTCCTTGTAGGAACAACTCTTGGGGCAATCAAATCCCTAAGAAGTATGTCCTCATCAACTGGCTCCGCCAGATTGGAGCTAGAGCTCTCGCAAACATCACCTCTTGTTGGCCTAGGGCCAACTTCCTTTGGTTCTTCACGCCGTGACATCGTTCTATAAAATAAAGAAAATAGTTCAATAACGATAATACTAAGGTCCAACCGTGAACAACTTAACACAAAAGGACATTATACTAACACTTAGCATGCAATACTATGCAATGAACACATTAATATAAGCATATAAGCACATAAACACGTAAATAAGTAAACAGTTAAGCATGCCTTTTTTTTTTTTTTTTTTCACATAGCAAAACACTTTTGCAAATAAGGAAATAACAATGCCAATGACTTCCCAGACAACCCTAGGTAGGCCTCTACCCATCGTCCTAATAGTTTTCGAACCTTTGTTCTGATACCAAATTTGTAACGACCCTAAACTGATACCATTAAAAAATAAATTTTGGCATGACCTCCCCTAAAAAGGGGCATACAACCCTTTGCTAAAAAAAAACGCAATGGCCATTCCTGACCTTTCAAAACATATCCGACCTGTTCCAACACATAATACAATTAATATATTCCAGCATCCCACTCATCCATTCATTATACCTCAACATGGATCATCTCATGGTGGAACATCCACATACAATTTAATCCAAATTATCATAATTACAGTCCCAAAATATACGGTTAAGATCTAAAGTACATGTTTTACAACGTTTAGACAACTTATAATAAAATTACAGCCCATGAATATTACTATAATAGCATGAGTCTATAAGTCTCTATACTAAATATGACAAAATAAGGTTTTACAAAAATATGGGACTTAGATACAAAAATAGCAAAATAATTTTCTAATCCAAATTAAGCCTGTGGTAGTACATCATCCGCCAGTTCTTTCCCGTTTTCTGAAAAATGTTAAATATAAGGGGTGAGCATAAGCTCAGTATGAAGTGCCTAAGGCACATCTCTTGAGACCCCGTGAATCCACACAATGAATAGAAATAAGGAAATTGGGATCATACCATTCCGGGAGTAAAAGTATAACTACGATACCACATCATTAATCCAATACCACAAATAAATATGCCATGCAATGAGATGCCATGCCATGCAATGTCACTCCCCATTTTCCCAAAACCATTTCCATTATCATTTCCAAGCTGTTAGTGAACCTGTCCCATGGCAACTCCATGGCTGCACGAAAGGAGGATTGGCCACTGTCCCTGACCCATGGCAACTCCATGGCGTCATTTGGGGTTTGGTAACTCAACCACACTAAAGCGATCTCTCTAGTCCCCTCTAGGCCCCACTAACGCCACAATCCCTAGGCAACTCCTAGGAGGCTGGGTTTTTCTCAAAAATCCTTTTCAAAATTCTTTCCCAAAATCCATTTCATTTCTTTCAAATCAATTTTTCCTATTCTTTCCCAATGAATGCATATATGTCTTATGTATTTCAATGACGTACCAATAAAGAAATTTTTATTTCTTACAAGTCAAATATTTACAATATACATGCCTCATAGGACAATTCTAGAAATTTACATCATACTTCAAAATCATAAAATTCAGCATATAGGCATGAAATTTAACATGGTCCTTTATCACATAACAACTAACATGTATATATACACATCTCATATACAACATATAACAAATACGAAAATAACACAAATTAGAACACAAATTAAACACAAATTATGAAAAATAATTTACCAAAATCTAAGAGATTGTGGATTAAACACCCATACCTCAATCTAAGCCAAAAGCCCCAAATTTTCACCTCAAACCCTCAAAATGGGTTAAGATTTTTGGACTCCCTAGGTTGGTCAAAACTGAAATTGCTGGTACACACGTGTAGAGTTCGCCGTGGTCTCTGTTTTGCCGCAAACGACACTTAAAAACACTAAGAAATGAGGGAGAAATCAAGCCTTGAATTTGTAAAATAAAAAATTAAATAAAAAAACAAAGAGAATGCCGAGAGGAAGACACAGAGACATAGACGGGAAAGAGGGAATGAGATTACAGAGAGCCAAAAAAAAAAAAAAATCGTGTTCTTATGATCACTTAAAACAATTGTGGGCCCCACCAATTTATTTTTTTTAAAATATCTTTTTTCTTTAGCTAACAATATATATATATATTTGAAATATTACAATAATAATAGAAAATATACATGAACTAAGGATCTATCAATTTCAAAGCACAACTATGTGATAATAGAAAGTATATATGAACTAAGCATCTACAGTAGCTTAACTATAATATCAGTAATAAAGATGGACTGAACATCTGCTAAATTTATTTACTTTTAAAAATTAAAGCCTTAGACATTTGAAGATCCAAACTTGAACTCAAAAATTCCTCAAGCCTCAGTTATAACTGCAAAAGAATAAATATGGTCAAGATTGCATAGTTAGAGTTGTTAATTAACAAGTAAGTAGCTAACAATTTGTAATTATCTGATTCATATTCTTCAATTTCTTCCATAGTTTCTTCAACTTCAATTGGGAGTGGTAAAGCCCGTAACCAATCTTGTACACATATCAAGCACTCCACGAACTTGGGCGACCTCCGGTGCAAAATGTGGATTCAGTGGCAATAGTGGACACAGGGATAGCCAAAACATCTTTAGCAACTTGAGCTAACACTCTATACCTGGAACAATTCAATTTCCACCAACTCAATATTTCAAAATTAGGGCCACACTCCTCACAAGATTCCTCCAAATACCTATCCACCTCAGATTTGCAACTCCCAACCTTTTTTGCTTTCAAGTACTTTCGGTATCTGGATAGAAGAGAGTCTTCTGGCTCACATGCTTCTCTAAACGGTCCATCAACTGCCATTCCATTTGATTTTTGAGTCGAGCTAGCCGAAGCTGAATTAATTGAGTCATACAACTGGTACTTGGCAAAAATACGACTCATAGCCTCTTTTACCCTATGCATTAGCTCATCCACCTTGTGTAGAGGATGCAGTTTAGTACAACAAAACTTCACATACTCCATTTTGAAACAAGGATCCAACACAAGAGCAACCAACAACATTGAGTCCATTTTTTCAATGTTCCAACAATACATGTCAAATTTGCTCTTCATTCTTAAGGCCATGGAACATAAACCAGTATCCGAACTTTTTGCACACTCAGATAAGAGACATTCAATTCCAATTACTTCTTGAAAATATGAATTTGAAGTGGCATATAAACATCCGGACAAGCGTAATGCTGTATTATAAAATTTTTGCAAGAATTTCGCCAAAACTCGAGCATCATACCAATCACTCTTCGATGGAGGTTCATTATTAAGTTCCAATTTATAATGTGGATCGTCCTCCTCTAACCTCTCAAATGCCTTTTGAAGTTCTAATGCTGCTTCTAACATAAAAAACGTGGAGCTCCTCCTAGTTTGAACATCAAGACATAAAACACTCTTACTTGCTATTTTCTCTTTCTTTATACAAGCCTTAAAATGTTGTTCTCTTTGTGGAGAACTCTTAATATACCTCACAGCACCACGAATACGAGTTATTAAATCCTTAATATCATTTAGCTCATGATTCACAATAAGATTCAATATGTGTGCTGAACACCTCATGTGAAAAGATTCACCGCGTAGAATCAAAGTCTTTCTTTTCACAAAATTTTCTTTTCAAGTAAGCAATAGCATCATCATTGGAACTCGCATTATCAACTGTGAGCATGCATAATTTATCAAGACCCCATTCTATTAAACATGCCCCCCGACTGCCTGACCAATTGCCTCACCTTTGTCACTCGAAAGCACACAAAAGTTTAGAATCCTTTTATGCAATTTCCAGTCATTATCGACAAAGTTAGCCATGAGGCACATGTAAGAGAGGTCTTGCAACGATGTCCAACAGTCTATAGTGAGAGAAATTCTTTGTCTTGTTTCTTCCAATATGTTCTTCAGCTTGTTCTTCTCACTAAAATATATTGCCAAACAATCCCTTGCCAAAGTAGTCCTTGACACGAGCTTAAATTTAGGTTGCAAAACACTACAAAAATTACGGAATCCTTCATGCTCCAGAAACTTAAAAGGCAATTTATCTATTATGATCATCTTAGCAAGTGCATACCTACACAACTCCTGGTAAAATTTACAAAGAGGTTACTATTGGAGCTTTCTTTTTCTCCCGCCATTTGAAACAATTGGAGCTTTTGTTTTTTGTGTTGATGGTATGGATACTGGGGACACCCAGTAACATGTTTTTTTAGCATACTAGTCTCGTTTACACTCTCCGGCGCATAAATTGCATTTGGCACCCTCAGGCTTCCCTTCCTCATTAATTTTAGTAAAGTGATCCCAAACATTAGATTGAAAGGTATTTTCCTTAGAGGTGCATATCTTCGTTTGACATGGAGAGGCATCGCAACCATCACTGCTTTGATTTAAAGTATCTCCAGTAGTTGGCATCTGAAATTAAGCATTGTTTCTAGGTGATTTACCAGAAAATCAGATCTCATTTATTAATACAAATAAAATTAAGCACTGTTACTAGGTGAGTTACTAGAAAATCAGATCTCATTTATTAATAGAAATAAAATTTGAAGCAACCATAAAGTAGTATTTTTAGAGATTATCAAATTAGAAAATTAGAGTAATAAAAAATGAACCTCTTGCGGACTGAACAAACTATAAAATCAGACTATTAAAATGAAAATCAGACTACAAAGAAAGAAAGAAAACACACACACACACACAATAAACAGAAATGAATTTCTCACATTTTGTCCCAAAATTTTGGGCGCGTGTTTGTGGGTGTGAAGAGTGAAGACAGTGTGTGTATCGATTTGTGCCTAATGAAAAGAACAGAGAGAGACTTACCGGAGAATAAGATGAATTGTAGGCCGGAGAAGATGGTGAGTGGCTGTGACAGCGTGAGAGGCGAGGGGTATTAGGTTTATCTATGGTTAATGTATTGGGGAAATGGATATATATATATATATGTATATATATATGAAAGATCGACGGATTGGTTTGATCAACGGATTGATTTCTTGGCGCCAAATCTCAATCCGACTCGATCCGAACCGACCTGACCAAGTTGGTTTGATTATTTTTCACTATGGTAAACCTGAACTAACGTTACACATTAGATGCCTAAATTTTATTTTATTATTTTTGGCTTAAACTTGTACCAGTTTGTCCCTGTCCTAAGTCTGTAAACTTTTCACTTGCACAATTTTCTTGTATTTTTAACTTGTGAGTGAATATGAGGGTCAAAACAAAACTAGCAAGTTAGAGTGACAGGTCTATAACAAAGGTTTTCTGGTTCAATTTTTTTTTTTTTTTTTGCAATTAATATATTGTCTCTTTTAAAATTATTAATTTTCAAGTTTGAATATATAATTAAACTGAAAAAAAAAAAAAATTAAACTTACAATGGTATTTATGAAAATATATGAAATATTTTGTTTGAACTTTTTAAATGAAATAAGTATTTTGGAACAACCTAAAAAGAAAAAATAGATAATTAAATTGGTATGTACCCCGTCTTCACAAAGAAAATAATTCATAGGTGTGACCATGGATGAGATCAATCGGATTTGATTAGACATTAACCCTAAGCCAATTTGATCTCTGTGGATTAGTGAAAATTAAATTCAATCTGATGCGTTATTTTACGGATTAGATCGAATTAAGTCTTTTTACTGTCTGGATTGGATCATATTTATAAATCGGACTTTTTCCAAGTAGCTCAATATTATTACTTTTAACCATGACCCAATGGATGAATTTTCAACCGTTAGTAATAAGACTTAAAAGTTAGTAGTCTTTAGGGTTAAAAGTTAGTAAAACTTAAAATAATAAAAGAATAAAGAAAATAAAAATAATGTGTATGTGTGTGTGTGTGTGTGTGTGTATATATATATATATATATAATTTTTGGGGTGAAATATCATGACGTCCCTTAAGGTTTGTTCACATATCTCCCAACTAAAATTATTATCAAAATAACTCTTGAGGTTTGTCCAAATTTATCTAAGTACCCAGACGTTAGTGAGAATTAAATCTTTCAATGGAATATTTTATAAATGCCCAAACAACCACTAAGTGAGAGAAAATGACTCAAATGACTTGGTTAGTATACCAAATTACTTATGTCAACATATAATTCAATATATTTGTTGTCAAAACAAAGTATTCAACATATAATTCAGCAAAATAGACGTTGGCTAATAATTATTCATCATTTGATTCATCAACAAACCACATATTCAAAAAAAAAAAAAAAAAATTGTCTTCAACTGCCCATAAAAATTTATTTCAACTCTGCAAAAATAATACAAAAGGGTAGATATACAAAAGGGTAGTTTTGTCCAATTAAAATTGGTTGAAATGGTAATTTGGTATTCTAACAAGATTATTTGAGTAATTTTCTCTCACTTAAGGATATTTTTGGCATTTAGAAAATATTCCATTGATTAAGGTGAGGGGTGACAAATTTGAACAAATATCAAGGTGTGTGTGTATGCCAAACCAAACAAACTCATTCCTCTCTCTCTCTCTCTCTCTGTCTCTCTGTCTCTCTCTCTCCACCATTTTCATTTTTTCCTTCAATCTTCAAGCTTCCATATCTTCGTATTCCCTTGTGATTTTGAGCTTGCCATAAAGGAAAAGTAACTGAGACACCGAGAGTGACAAAACCTTGGAATTTATTTTCAATTTGGAGCATATTTCTCTTTGGAGTGGCTAGGGTTTGCACCTAACTTAACGTAATGGTGTGTTATGTCCATAAACTAGGACTGCTTGGGATTTTATGAGCATTGTGTGAGTTATACATGCGTGTGTGTGTGTAGGAGTTGAATTAAAGTGTATATTTTATGGTGTAATTGCATAATTTATTTATTTATTTTAAAAAAAAAAAATTTGAAATCAAAGAGTATAATTACAAAAGGATTGAAACTCCAATACAGCAAAAGGAATGGACAAACTCCACTTCTGGCCAAAACTAAAACAGAAAAAGAAAACATGCAAAACAAACTAAACTTCAACTTCAAATAGCCATCTGCAATTGTTTCCTTCATTGACAAATGATCAATAAATCTTCCAGCCTAAGCTTGAGATATTGAATCACATCCCAAATAATACTCCTAGCAGCATAGTCATAAGAATCTTTAATTCCCTCATGTAAGTAAGAATTCCTACTGGACCAAATCTTCCAAATAGTAACAACAAACACAATACCCAACACCTTAGACTTTGTACATTTGACAGTAGAATTCCCAAGAAATTTGACAGTAGAATTCCCAAGAAACCAATCTGTCATGTGAAGCATAGAAGAAAATCTAGGCAGCTCCATAATATTAATGTTTTAGTGACTTCAGTATAGATTTCATATGTTGTATGTTCAATTGATCTATTACAATGTTTATATGTGGTAATTTTGTTGTCCATGCTTATGCATATATGTTTTCATCATTTACAGTTCATTTAAATTGAATATATATGTTTAGGTGGCTATCAATTGTGCTAATTGTGGATTTTGCTCTCTTGAGTGTAACTATGTGAAATTAATTGAGCTATTGTACTCCTTATAATTGACAAAATGCCCGCATGAATTAATTTGAGTTATTTGTAATTGTGTTAGGCTATAAATGGGGACATTGTATTGTTGAATATGCCATGAAAGTATTTTGAGACTATAGGGCATGAATTGCTTGATTATCATTGTAAACACGCGTTTGTGAAGTGTTATATATGATCATCAAGTATGTGGATTATTTGTGGATATGGTTGTTGATTTTGGAAGATACTCTAAACTTTGATACCGTGATAGCGAGGGCTTGGCTCGCAGATGAAACTCGGATTTCCCCAACTTTATATTAGCCAATAGGTTTGTTCCTTGCGGGTTAATAACTCGAAAATAATTATTTTGCCAGTGTGTGCATTAGGTATGACCGAGGGTGTGGGTGTGTCCAAGTTATCTCATTTAATGATTTTAAATCTTATTTTCAAGTTGGTATTCATGTGTTATTGCAACTTGTGATTTATTGCTACTACATTATTTTGCATATCCTTTCCTATAATCAGATTAATGTATATTTGTTCCATGGTAGCTTATAGGATGTTCCCTTTCTAGATTCTCTTGAGACTAGACGTTAAGGAGCATGTCCCTTGCATTGTGTAGCCATGCTATGTGGGTAGGATTCGAAAAACCTTAGTTTATTTTCATACCATATCCCTACTGAGCGAATCCATTGCTCACCCTGTTGAAATTTTACTCTTTTCAAGTAAGGGCATTGCCGAGGAGGAGCCCCCTACTGGAAACGGGGACATACAAAACAGAAACTTTGGATGAAATTTAAAGTAGATTACGCTAAGAAGTTTTTGCGGATCTATAGACGAACGCGTTCCTCTCCGCAAGGAGATGCACATTGTAATGTTTGTAATTTATTTACATATGTATATCTATGTGGTGGAGAATTGTTATGTGTATGAATATATATATATGTGTGTGTGTGTGTGTGTGTGTGTGTGTGTGTGTGTGGAATTATAGTGTAAAAATAAAAGGAAAAAGAAAATTTTTAATTAAAAGTGGTGGGACCCACCACTTATACAAATTGTGGCCA